CATGAAGGGGAAAAGCAAAATCTGACAGGAAAAGAAGGTGGTCAGGGTGAGGATTCCGTTCACTTTGTACAGAAGGGTATGCTGCTGCTTTAGCTCAATCAGAACTTTGCCCAGCGTCACAAACCGAGTACTCAGCTCTGCTGTGAAGATGCAGCCCACGAAGAAGTCCCCCAGGTCTCCGCGAAGCTTCTGTGCAACGGGCACGAGGGCGAGCAGGATGACCAAATGGTGCGTGACCATGAGGCGGTTTTGAATCAGTAAGTTTTGGAAAGTGGTGAAGGAGTGTTTGCGGTGCTCCTCCTTGCTTCTGTACCACTCACAGAGGTACATGGCATGGAAGTCATAGATCATGTATGGAATCAAAAACCAAACATATTCCCGGGCAAGCCAGTGCCTGTCTGAAATCACGTTTTTGCAGGAGCGGAATCCCCGACCCGGTGGCCAGCACAGCGTGCATGGAAGACACCAACCTGGTGCTGATCATCACGCAGAGAGTGTCGGTCCATTGGGGCCGCAAGCGGCGCAGCCACCTGGTGGAGAGCGCGAAGATCCCGGGGAAGAACACGGCCCCCCAGGCCAGCGAGAGCAGCATGGGTGCGCGGGTCCGGCCGCCTGGCGCGGCGCCGCTCGCTCGCTCGGTGGCTGGGGGACTGGTGCGGCCCGCCCGGCTTTATTTCTACCCTCCGCCCTCCGCCTCCGCCCTGCCCGCAGCGCCTCCCGAGCCGCCAGGCGCTGGCTGTGAGCCCGCAGCGCGGCTCTCCGCGTGACCAGGCCCGGCCGTCGCGATAGGTGCGGGCCGGCCGGCCGGGGCGGGGTCTCGTGGCCGCCGCCCCTGTAGCTGGAGGATTCCCGAGGCTCGGCTCGCCCGCGGGTGGACGGCGGCGGCAGGATCCCGGGGTCGGGGCCCAAGAGCGGTGCGCGGAGAGCGGGAGCGCGAGGATCCCACTGGTGGCGGGGAGGCGGGAGGCTTCTGTTCCGTCACCTCGGGCGCCTCCTTTCCGCCGCTGACCCCCGAGCACGAGAGGATGGATGGGGTGACAGGGGTAACAAAGCCACGTTGGAAAGAGCAACCTTTCCAGACACGGGCCTGGTGCTTTTTGCCCAGTGCGCAAGGTGCGTTGGGCTTCTCTTTGGGGAGACATTCAACTACCAAGAATCCTTGTTTTCAAATAGGAATCCCGAGACTTTTCAGAACAAAGATATCTTTTTTGCAAAGTTCTGCCAAATGTTGCACTTTCTCTGGAAAAGGGCGTCCACCGAAAACATAAAATCCTGTGGCCGAATCCAGCTCTCTACGCATGCCCCACGAGGTGGACTCGCAAGTCTGCAGCATTGTCGGGTTTCTCTCATCCTGTCCCGACTTTGGTGACTGTTGTTGTTGACAATGTGGTTTCATTTAAGTGTTCTCAGGCCAGATTCCCCCAACTTGAAGGGCTTGGAATCTGCCCCATTTTTATACAGCGCCAATCAATCACATGGGCCAATAGAGGAACTTCAACATCCCTGGCTTGGCGCCCTTTTGGATCTTCCCAACTTTTTTTTTTCTTTTCTCTTTTTCGGCTCAGAAATAGAGGGAGGAAATGCAATTGAAAGGCACTGTGTGCATCTCCAGGGAGTGCTGGTGGCCTAGTGGGTAAGGAGTTGCGTTGCCAACCCCAAAACAAGCCATTCGAATGCACTAAGCTGCTCCTAGGGACGAGGGGATTTTCTTTGTAGGATTTACAGCCTCTGCAAACCCACTTGAGGATCAACTAGGAGTTTGTCTGTTCCTACTCTACGGCGCATAACAACAATAATAATAATGTAATGTGCCTTCTAGTCGCCTGCGACCTATAACGACCCTGTGTACAACAGCTATGAAGCCTGCCTTGTCCTGAATCAGTCTCATTGACACCAACACATCTACCTGCATTGCCCCAAGTTACCAGGTCAATCCATCTCATCCAGGGTCTTCCTCTCCTTCGCTCACTCCACCCTTCCAGGTATGATGTCCTTGTCCAAGGACTGGTCCATCCTGGCCATATGCCCAAAGTATAGGAGATGGAACTTCAAAATCCTAGCTTCCAAGGAGAAACTTGGGTTTTCCCTCTCCAAGACAGACCTAGTTCTTCTACTGGTGGTTCAATATTCTTCTCCAGCAAGAGTCAAAGGCATCACTTCTTCTTGTCATCCTAGTAATAGTCCAGCTTTCTGATGCATTGTTGTTAGGGGCCATAGAGTCCAGCACAACTAGTCGCACTAATAGTGACTCTATGAACAAAAGATCTGAACCCTGTTCTATCCTGTGCCATCCTCACACTTCTTGACACACAAGAGTCCATTACAGCAGTCACCATGTCAATCCACCTAGTTGAGGATCTTCCTCTCCTTTGCCAACCCTCCACCCTTTCCAGCATCATGTCCTGCTCCAAGAAATAGCACCTCCTAGCAATATGCCCAAAGTATGTGAGAAAGCCTCATCATTCTTGCCCTTCAAAGAGCACTCCAGCTGCACCATCTCTGAAACCCATCTGTTCGTTCTCTTGACCGTCCATGGGATGTTCAGTGCTCTGCTCTACTCTGATGCATAGCAAGTAAGTAATAATAATGCATCTTATACAGAATTTTGAGAAAGGGTTAGGAGAGGCTCAGCCTCTTAGCACCACTGTTCTGTGAACTGAGGAGCTTGGACTACAAGCTCTCAGAGGCTCTTCCAGCTCAAAATTTTCTAGTTCTATGACTTCCATGAGGTAACAGATTATTTCAATTAGACGCCAATTAAATTACTTTAATATGGCTGCGACTGGTAAAGCAGCAAGCAGATGCAGTGAACACAGCCTTTATTATCTTGCTGTGGGTTGAAATTGACCCCATGTCAACTGTTTTTGTTTTGTCTGGATGTTATTTATTTTTTTTGTGTGTTGGTTTTTAAAAAATTGTTAAAATTTCCATTAAGCTGAGAAGAGATTTAGCCAAACTGAAGGTAACAGAACGCTTGGGTGGTAAAAATGATTAACATGTTTCGTTGCTAACTGAAAGGTTTGAAGTTTGAGTCCACCCGGGGGCACTTTGTAAGCAGGGCCTGGTGCTCTTAATTCCTAAAATGCAGTCTGTGAAAACTCTATGGAGCACAGCTCTGCTCCAATACATGGAGTCACTGTGAGTTAGATTGACCAGGTAGGGCAGCGTCTCCAACTCCTTAACTTACTACTAATATATTGGTGGAATGAGAAGGACACTTGAATTTGGTTCCTGGCAAATACAAAGCTTTCTGTATTTTGATATTTGCATAAGAACAGAGAACAGCTATATATGAATGTTCCACTTTTCCAGAGACCTTTGCGCATTCCACTTTCTGTTCTGTCTGCATCTAGCCCAGTCAACTCCAGCTTTCCCAGAGGAACAAGTGCTGACATGCCCTACCCAGAATTTTCCCTTCAAAGTTATCAGCTTGAACCAAGGATACCGACTCTTTCAAGTGATGGGAACCCCTGCCTGCCCTACACTGAAAATTGTGCAACTCTTATGGAGTGTTTATGAAATAAAATGAAATCAGAACAAAAGACTCCACTTCAGAAAATAGCACATGAAATCCATTTTCAACACCATGTTCAGTGAATTCACGACAATGTTTAGGATGAATCACCATAAAGCCAACCAGCAAGAATAAACTTGAACTTTGGCTTCCGGTGATCCAGCCCCTGTGGGGAAATGATCAGGCCAAATAAAAAGCTAATTAACTTCTATTCACTTTTTATGTCTGGAATCAAATGTTTCCTTCTTTAAGAAGGTTTCTGTATCTTTTCCAGGCAAAGGTACAAGTCCATTTTCTACGACTTTCGCATTTGAGTGGTGGGCACATATTTTATTTGCACACGTTTGCTTACCAGTTAGCTCTTTTAAACCAAGGACCGTGTCTTTTCATTTTGCATTCCAGGTGTTGCCTGGCACATTGCAAGGGCTTCATAAGCATTTGAAACTTTTTTTAAGCTAGTGCTCATTGAGTGCTTGCTGTGTTCCAGGCACTGTGTCAACATGCTTCAGGCACTGTCTCACCAAATCTTTACAACAGATCTACTACCCTCACTGTGTATGTGCAGTGAGCAGAATGAGGCCCAGAGAAATGAAAAATACAACAACAGCCACCATGGGTCACATGACTCAGTTCTTTCTGCCTTCAAGCTCAGTGTACTTAATGATTGCATTTACTTCCCTAAACAAGGGGACAGTAATAATTTTTTCACTATTTAGTTTCTCAGTAATAACCACTGTTCTTATTGTTTACTCACAATTATAAGGAAACAATTAGAGGAACAAGCACAGAGGGAGTTCTGGTGGCCCAGTGGATAAGGAGTTGTGCTGGCAACCCAAAGGCACGTGGTTCAAATTCCTCAGGAGAAAGATGAACAGTTTCTTCCTGTGCAGTTTACTGCCTCTGAAAATCCACAGGAGGATCAACTTGAGTCGGTTCTGACTTGACGACACAAAACAACATAAACATGGAGTGGGGGTGTTAGGTTCTGCTTCTGCTATGAATAGTGATATCTATACCAGTTATTATTAAAATAATTTTTCTACTTATAGGTAACTTTGGAATATGTTCCAAGCACTTTTGTGTGTATAATCGCACGAGATTCTAAATACAACCCAATGAAGTAGGTTGAAGATACTACTTGTCATTTATAAATGAAGACTCATAAGCTCAGAATGATGAACTAACTTTCTTAAAATTACCTTGTCAGGTGGTGGACTCCACTTAGACTCTGATTCATCTTAGAAACAATTTATCTTTAAAAAAATTATTTTATTAATTTTAATGAACATTTCTAGATATTTTGGATTTGCATTCATTCATTGTTGCAGTTTTGTCCCTGCCCTCCCTTCCCCCCCATTCGCTCCTCTCTTTGAA